GACGTGAGCCCTGAAGCAGTCGTCTCAATGATGGCTACCATCAGTACGGTGGCTTATCACCATGACAACGACCTCTGAACTTACTTGTGTAAGTAGTGATGGTTAATATGAAATATGCCAAAATGTGGGAAGTCAAAAGACTGGTCAAAACTGATTTTTTCGCATTGATCTCAGTGCAGATTTGTCTTTAATATCTATAACAATTTTGTATTTTTTTTGCTGTATGTATAATAACAGCTAACAGTTTCTAGCTTCAGACCTCAGATGTGCATTTTTGGCAGTTTTTAGACTGTATGGATCTAAACTCTTGTCTGTGCTTTAGAGGAAAAATGTACCTTTTTGGGATAATTTAGAGAGAATATTAAGTTGAAGAACAAGCTACATTTATCTGTTGGTTTCTGTTTGTATAGGAAAAGAAAGAGGCTAACAAGTAGCAGCTTTCCCTCAGAGCAAAGTTAGTCCCTCCAAACAGAAGCATGGACCCTTCTCTTCTCACAAAAAAAGCCTAATAAGTTTTCTGTCCAGACCCACTTTGTGTCTCATTACTTTCCTCCCAACCTGCTGTTTGCCGATGTCTCAAAGTATTAAAATCCTCCCATTTTGGTGTCTCAACTTCATCAACTTCCAGAGCTGAGCGGTTAAAGGGGGACGGATCTGGTCACCAGTCTTGTTAGAACTGGGCTATAATTACTCATTTTAGCATAGCATGCTACAACTTAATCCATGTAAATGACTGATTGTCTTATTCCTGTTTAGATTCATATTATTCCCTTTATAACCTCCTGAGACCCGAGCTTTTTTTTGGCGGCATTAGGCATTATTGCTTTTTTCAAGATATATGGGATTAGTAGGACCTAATAAGATCATAACTAGACTTTGTTCATGGTACAGGTAGTTTTTCTTCGTATTGGCTCAGTGGGTTTATCTTTACATATTTGATAGTTTCTACTATGACGCCAAGAGGTCGAAGTAGAAAGAAAAAAAGTATCATGGTAAAGAAAGGCAAAATGCAATGTAGATATTTCTACTTTTGGGTTAAACTCTCTGGCTGTGCCTCCTCTCTCTGTTAAAGTAGATACTCGTTTTCAAGCTCAACATCCACACTTTCTTATCACATTCCACCTAAACCTGCATGAATTAGGACCTGGCCTGTTCCTGTCAGAGCTAACTGGCCAAT